TTCAAAGTTGTTTGCGTTCAGAGTTGGGTAGGGTCGTGCAAAAAATTTCCACTGCCATTGTTCTGGAACTTGGCAGCTCTGCTCTTTTTGTACTGGCCATGTGTTTTTTGTTTTTCAAGCAACCTAGTAAGGATTATGGCCTCGAGTGGTACCATTTCTTGAATAAAATGTGAATGGTTTTAGGGAAGGTGAACAGTTACGTGATGTTGATGTCGATTCATGCGGAGCAGAATTAATTAAAGCCCTTTTCCCGTGACTGGAATCTGTTACTCGTTGCATCCTAAGGTGTCGTAGATTTTCAGCCTTTATCAACTAGAAATAAATTGCGGCAGGTTTGGGCAGCCGTATGGTGAATAATCAAGCACAAGCTTTAAATATCTGACATTAAGTTGTTGTGGTTACAGGACTAGAAGCAAAAATGTTCAAGAAAAAATATCGTACCTTTTGTTTGTAGTCTTTTGACTCTGGGATTCCTAGGTCAGTACTTATGCGGACTAAGAATTTAAGGCCTGCAAAAACATGTAGCTATTACCATTGGTTGAAATATGCAATTTTCGAATATTAGGCTTTTAGTGAAATAAGTTTTTAACGTGGTTTTTTTCTCGGCTGTGGAAGGCTTGAGAAAACAAATCGGCTTTGAGTGTCGTGATCAAAGCTCTTAAGGAATGTTAAGAGGCGTAGCGATTTAAAAATTTCTAAAATAATTAAATAACACACATTCTATATTGTCAGGAAAGCGCCTGTGTACCGTCTTGTAAACGTTAAGAGCTTTTTGGTAGTCTCCTGCACGGCGATGACATGAGGCCATCATCAGCTGCCATCGGATTTCATTTGGTCTGAAAGTTTTGGGACTTTAGACGTGTAGATATTGCTGTGCATTCCCTGATTCGTTAATTTGGGTGTTTTATGCTGCTTAGTGAAGTTCAACTTCATTCGTGCACTTCAATGCAGTGCGCTATTTACTGGACTACTGGAGGTCGTAAAATTATGATTAAGATCAGGACTGCATACCTCTTGCCGTTACTGGTAGTTTTTATTTCAAAAGGGTTCTTGAAAGTATAAGCAGTATAAACTGTTTTTCTAAACTGAATTGGGTGGGCCAGAAGCACGAAAGGAAGTTTAAAGTTTTGTACGTTTGAAGTTAATTATTTTTTTGTAAACGGTTTTTATCTATATTCGTTAATGAGGGTCAAGTGGTAGGAATTAAAAAAGGTACTGCATAATGGCTGCTTTCTCAAAATAAATGACTGCTTTTTCGGGGAATTGAGTCTCGACGTAATGTGCACCGAGCCATTCGATAATGTTAATATTTGATGGAAAGTAGCGGTAGCTCTGTAAAAAATAGGAATACATAGGCGATTAGAATTAGATTTGTGTTGTTAGAATGGGTTTTGAAAGTTGAGCACGGGTAACAAATTATTTGGTACAAACATCAGAGTAGCACTGAAAGGCCTGGCTTTTATCTCCTTCGTTTTCGTAAAGGCTTGCGAGTTTTGCGTATATTGATGGATCTGACGGTGCCAAACTGTTAGCTTGGCTGTAGAGTTCCAAAGCTTGTGCACTATCGCCCATCATCTCATAACTAGGAAGAAATGTGATTTAATTTTTTTTTGGTATCGTCTACATATCACCAAATATTGCTGGCAACATTCGGCTTGCATGCCTTAATGGACTTACACGGAAGCAAGTTGGCAAAGCACTTCGACATTGCTGAACAAGAGGTTGTGTAGTTTGTAAAAATATTCTAACGTTTCCTTCAGCCGACCTTCCATCTTTGTTATCAGTCCCATGTTGTACAGCGCCTGGACACATGTTGCCTGACAAAGTGTATAGAGTATTTAATTCATGTGTCATATTCATAACCATGGGAGTGCCAGTTGGAGAACATGGTGCAGGTGGTCAATTATGAGATGTTCTGTAAGTGGCAGATTCCCTTTTAAGCTCAATTTAGGAAATGAAAATTGGTAACGAGTCGCATTATAAGCATTTAGTTTAACGGAAGTAAAGTTTTTTCAATGAATTTTATTTAGTTAAGCTAGTTTTTTGTATGTATCCAAGATTACTTTCACCTCGTTGCTAAGAGCGTCTTTGTAGTACTGGAACGCTTTCTCGTAGTCGTTGTTTGCAAAATAAATGTTGCCTCTATTGACCAACGCATTTGCATTGTATCTGTCGACGTTTAAAGACTGCTCACAAAACTCCACAGCTTCTTCATAATTCTGGGAACCTTGCTATAAGAAATTTATGCATCAGTAGTTTTGAAGTAAGTTGATTCAGAGAATTCTGATTATTGAACCTGTAAGGCAGTAACAGACGTGCTAAAATTCTGTGACATTATTCTCTTTACTATCAGACCCTGTATTCGCTATCACTGGTTTTCGCAACCAGTATTAGAAGCCAAAAGCAGCGCTCACAGCGAAGGAAAGTGAGCGTTATTTTGCATTTACGGAGAATCCAAACTCACCAAATAATTCATTACTGCAAGGTTGTTTGCAGCAACGCTGGCAATTTTGCTGTCCTTATTATTGAACACCATTAATGCCTGGAATGCACTAGTGAAAATCAAAAGTGATCAGCATTAAAAAGAGAGTTGCTAGTGGATAGCACAACTGAGAAAGGCAGGTATTTTCGCTTAAACGTCACAGTAAGGTTACTAAAAGAATTCATCTAATGTTAACCTGAGAGGCTGTTTCTAGTTGTCCTTGACGCAGCAAATCGATGGCTTTATTTAGTTCCAGTTCCATCGCTAAGGATGCATAAACGGATTGCTTGGTAATCTCCACACACCACGCGTGACCCTCAGCATAGCTAAAAATAAACTGCGGCTTTATTTCGTAGACTTTTTTCAAAAGCGAGGTGATCTTGTAATAGAAAGGTGTTACTTCGGTGCAATAGCAGGTGCTATGACTTTTGCAGCCGTTAGGACAGTTTTTTCGGCAACTTTTCTCCTTTCACGCTCCCACTGCTTTAGGAGATCAGTGCTGATAGTTTTAGACAACAGAAAGTCTTCATGTTCCTGAAAAAATGGAAGGAACTTGTTTGTAGGTTTTCCTTTTTATCGAAGTTAGATACTGTTTTGGGCTTTATTCTTTCTAAATTTTTTTTTATTTGTCGACAGTTGAATGAGCTAACAATGTATTTTGGTTCATCGTCAACAAAACGTGGAATGTCAACCAACTGCTGGAATGATTCTTTCATTTTATCCACATTTTCGAGGCAGTATGCGGTGAGTATTAGATTCAGTGCTGTACCGTAATCTGCGCGCTCTTCCATGCAATATCCGAAGGTGTTTGCAGCTTCCTCATATTCACCGAGTTTAATGAATGCAACCCCAATATTGTTTAGAATCTTCATTCTGAAAAGTGAACTTATCACTTTATAAAAAATCTTTGAGAGTGACGCGGCACAAATGTGTTTTGATTTGCTTGAAAGCTTTTGAATAATATCAAGTTACAGGATAAAGATCAGTTGAACAAAAAAAACTTTCTCTCTTAACTTGATATGCTATATTGAAAATATATTTAGTTAACTTACCTTGTACTTGCCTGGGAATTCGGCACTTGGTCTAGTGCCATTCTGTAGTATTTAATTGCCTTGTCGTAGTCCTTTTTTCGAAAATAAATATTTCCGATGTTCACCTTCAATCGTCCAGTGTTGCTGAACATTTTATTCTTCACAATCATCTGGTAAGTTTTCAGTGCTTCTGTTAACAAGTCGTTTGCCATATACTGCAAGTGCTTTTTTTATTTTGGCAGCTGGAGTAATGCCGTTTGTTGTCTTCTTGCTACCACAATTGACTACTTAAGTGTACTTTGAAAGTAAGTGACTTGGCTTTTTTAAAACCTTGAAGACAGTTATTTCAAAAACATAAACCTGTTAGATAAACTTGTTTAAGAGGCAAGAGATCTAATCTAGACCACCTGATGCGCAAGGTTTAACAATACTGTAAAGGTCAAGTCCAGATTGAGCTGTTCAACAACGGACAATTGTTCTCTTAATCTGACCGCTAACCGCTCTTTACGGCCTGCCTGTTTTGCTTTTTCCAGTGCCTAATAGTCATAATTACTCACAACAGTAATACAGCTTATAAGTTTCATCTTTTTTTACTTACATTCATTACTAATGTTTTGAAAATAAAATATTTACAAGTTTAAATTCTTTCTTCTCCCATGCTTTAATGCTCTCTTCCAAAAGCAAGTTGACTTCATCTTCTAATTGTCGGCATTTGTCCTCGTTGCTCTCCTCCACTGTTTTTTCAGTGTTGATTTCTCCAACCGCCTCTGAAATACTGACTTGACCGTCGATAAAATATTTTTTTTCTTACTCTTGAAGTTTAAATGAAGTCAAAATTTTTTTCCGACATTTGATTTGCATTAGAACTAACCTGAAGTGTAACCGGCTCCTCGAACTGCTGTTAGCGGTCGTGGTGCAAAAGCATTTTTTCTAGGAACTGCTGATGTGTGCATAATACCACTGCTTGTTAACAGGCTACGAACTCCAGAGGACGGTAAGTTTCGAGCTGCTGACGTCGACGGTCTTGTAGCCGTTGAAAGAATTCGATTTCCAGTAAACTGTTACAGCAAAAGTTATTAAATTTTATTTGTAGTCGGTTGCACAGAAGAATTCATTTTGGCATTTTTAAAGAAGGACCGTCAACAGTGACCATACTTACCGGTCTTCGTCCATAACTCGATCGCGTTACAGCTTGTTGGAAAACTTTGTCGTTAAGGACATTCTAGAAGCATCAATCAGACTAATTTAAAAGTAAAACTACATGTAAATATCAGGTGTAAATATATCTGTTACTGTCATGCTTATAATTGTTTCATTTGCTTATGACTTCATGTGTTCCACTAATATTGTAGCAGTAACTAAAATAAATGCAATTAGTACCGAGATCTCTTTCAAATATTAAAAATCAGGTTTTTCCGTTTAACTATCTTGACCATCAAGATTCATTCTGATAACGCAGTCATAAACAGCTACATTTATTGGAAGATAATTTTAATTCTACAAAGACTGAATTCAACCTGCATATCGTAAGCGTATTCATAGTCGTTGAATCCTTCATATTTTTCATCCAGTTCGCTTTTTGGGTCCATTTGGGGTATTTCTCTGCCAGTATCGACGTTACTGACAGCGATAGCAACTCGTCATGCCTGTTGTTATGGTAACGTAACTGGGTTCAAACGTCTTGGTCTTTATCCAAGAGGCTTAAGGTCTGTTTGTGTGTAACTCGCCGACAATACTTGTTTTGCATGGTGACGTAAAAACAATTGGTCGTAATTATTAGACTGAGTTTTTTTGGAGGTCGTTTCAAACTCTGGAGCTTTAAGCGTTTAAGTTTTATCCTTTGGTCATAAATCTGAAAACATTGGCCTTTCAAAAAGTGTTGATTCTTAATTTGTAATAAAAGTTATTCATCAATTACTTTGAAAATTATCAGTTAAAATTGGATAAGAATAATTTTAAAAAAATTACTAGTAATGTTGAATAGTTATTTTGGTTGCAACCAGAGTCTTAAAATAAAACTTTGCTTGTTAGACTTAAGCAGTGTTTAAACTGAAGTTTTACAACGCCATTAAGCGATTAAGCCGGAATGTAGATCGTTTGCCTTCGGCAGGCATGTATTTCAATTTAACGCCTTCTTAAGGTGTCATGTAAGTCTTTTCTTCAGCAGTTATTTTTGCATCATTTCAGTTCAATACACGTTAAAATATGCCGTTGAAGGGTAATCTTAATTTTACTTTTCTATCTGTTGCTCCTTTTCTTGTTTGTACCTTATTTGTTGTTTGTTTATTGCACTTTGGCTGCTGTACTTCTGTAAAAAACTTACGTTGTTTCTAATAATAACTTAAAACGTGACTAGCTTAGTATAAGGAGTGTCACATAATTTGGCTATTTAGATTAAGGATATTTCTAATATGGATGTAAATCCCTGCCACGTTTTACTTTCTTCAGTAATAAGTTGCCGATGCTCGCGATATGACTTTTTAATGCCCAAATAAATTTATTGACTGAATCAAGGAGTAAGTAGCAGTAGTAACAGGAATACTTAATAAGTTACAATAGATATAAATTAAAAAGTCAAAGAACGGATTCAAGAATGCGATTGAGATAAGTTTGTTAACAGTTTCAAGTTCCTAACATGCTTCCCATTGTTTATATGAAATAAGTACAATTACTCGCTTTCCCAACCTTTACCAAAATAGTTTACACAATTTTTAACTTGAGATCTGAGATATAGTTTCACTGAACTTTCATGTCATGAGTAAGCTGATTGGACTTCTTGTCCATCCTTTGTAAGTGATCTCCTTGATACAGTTTTAATCGTTACTTTGTTTATACTTTTCCCACGACTTTTGCTTCGGTCACGAGTTGCTATTGTAACTTCATAGATGAGTTGTAGTAACAATCTTCTGTGAGAGAACAGTTATCTTTACCAATATTACAAAAACACATGAACAGTACAAAAACGCAGGTAAAATTTTAAGGCCAATAATCAATAAAAATTTTAGAAGAATGGAATGAATATAGATGAACTACTTAATGCATAAAACTTTTTAATTAAAAGACGTTACTGACAAAATCAAACTGAATAAGTGATTTTTAGACCAACCTTCATTCATCGTAAGCAAACATTGTTGCCTTGTAGAGAACTTTATTAATGTCTATTTTCACTGACCTGAATAAAAGTTTTTTTACAAACTCAGAAACACCTTATGTGCGTACATTTAAATGGCAACCCCTACACCCCGCGAAGATGCAGTTAAGCAATGGCTTAAACTTGAGGCAAAACATTTACAAAGGCCAAAAAAACGCTCATTGAAAGAAATTTGAACATTGTAATTTCAAAAAGAAATTAACGGCACCAATAAAAATAATTGTTTTCAGGAAGTACAATCCAAAAGAATGAGTTAACAAATGAGCAAAAAGCTGGAAAGCTGACTGTTTTGCGGCTCCTCTATTAAACGGAAGAGGATTTAAACACATATAAACAAAACAGAGATTTCAGCGGAAAAGTATAATATTTCTGTAATCAAACACAAGAGTACTACAACTTATAAACTACTTTACAAATTTCTTTCATCTGTTCCTTCAATTAAGATTTTTTTAAGTAGAATTTGTAATATTAAAATAAGTTCAACTTTAAATGCCAAGGTAATAATATTTATTTGATAAAATACAACTTGTAGCATTCACTATGAACAGTTCTCCTCCAAATGTCACCACCGGTTTCCAGTACAAATTGGTAATCAAGAATTCTTTTACCTGCAATTAAGCAATAGAGATTCAGATCAAATATGCAGTATTTATAATACAGATATAGTATTTAAAAATGCAGCGATTTTATTGACGACGATTATACGGTTATTGAAAATTGTGAGTTGTTAATCAGTTTAGCTGCCAATCCAACTAATAAGCTAAAACTAGTACGACATTTCTGTTCATTTAGGATAAGCTGTTCATCGCTCTTACAGCATTGCATTACACCCGGGAAACAGTTCTTTTTTTATTGTTTTTTGAATCAACTCAAAACCAATATGCAAAAATTTAAATTTTTAAGTTGTTATTAATCAAAAGTAAAAATCCTTTAAATTTTCGCAGTTACTGTGTAAGGAACTATACGCATTTCTTAACGTTTTTAAAGAATGTGATTAATTTAGGTTACCAAGTTGTTTATGCTTTAAATAATTTAAGCGAAATGAAAGTGTAAGCAATTTTTTAAAGCATGAAACCACTCAAAAACATTCAATCGATTTTAGCAAATGCGTGCATTATTATGAAACTCTTAGTTTAAACAGTTGAGAAAAATTAACAGTGAATTGAAGAACTAAAGAATTCTTTATTTTAACGTTACCAATGAAAGGATGGTATTGGTAAGTTTGATAAAATTACCTCTTTTTCTTATCAAATTCAATTGCTAAATTGGTGTTCAACCTTTAAATTTTATTTTAAAATCACTTTAAAGACTGGTAATCTTTTACAACAAACCTCAGCTTGATAAAGCTTCTCAAATTTTAACGGATCTCTGGCGAGTACAACAGTTGGATATTTTAGTGGTTGTGATAGTATCACATAGTCATATTGGTTATTCGTATTTATTGGTCCCGTCCGAACAATTGAGTCTGTAAATATGCCATAGACTTAAGCATCTCCTATTACACTAAATCGGTATCATTATAGAGTATAATATTTTCTGAAAAACATACATGGACATGGATCATTTTGTTTGCCGGTATTAATTAATAGTTCGCCAGCTTCATTGCCATATTTTCTGCCATAACCGACAGTTGATAACAGTTCATCATTGGTAATTGAATACTGTTTTACACTGAATGTTGCCGTATGAAATCCTTTTTGCAGTAATTCATCTGTAATTAAATTGTTCAAAAAAAAAAAATTTTTTTTTTTTTTTTAAAATCATATAAGACATAAAAAACCAAAAGCAATCAGTTTACTGACTTTGAACAGTTTTGCTGTAAAAAAAAAATAGATATTGATCATATGAATTATTAATTCATGTAAATAAATTCTTCGAAAGCATTGCAAAAGAAAAAAAAATGGGCAAAAAATAAAAAAAAGAAACGAGAATTGCTCTGTAATCATTGCAAAACACCTACATATGATTTGTTTTGTCTACAACCTGATGATGTTACCACATTATTTTTATAAAAATCAAAAACGTTTTCTGCAAAAACATTGAAGCATATAAAAAAAATTCTATCAAAAAAGAGTAACATTAAATCGTTGAAAGGAAGGTTGAGAGTAAGCAAAAAAAAACATCTACAAATTTTCTACATTTTCTCATTCGTTCCCCATTTTTTAAAATCTTTTTTGTTTATTATGACTATAAATATTACTTCTGTACAATCTATAATTTAGTTATAGAAAATGACAATAAATCAAAAATTATGGAAAATGAAGTGTAAAAAAAACTGATAATTGCTTACAGAATGCGACAGTACATCGATCAAGACGACCCCCTCGTGGTGAATCAATCACCTGTAATTGATCAAATTTATGATCTCGTCAAGAATACATTTTTGTACACCTTACATCCCTTTCATTCTGAAAACAGAAAGAAAAAAAAAAAAACAAAAATTTTTTATTTTTAACAATAGTAAAAAACAATTTAAAAAAATATTTTTTTTTACAACGTAAAATAATGATCAAAAAGTTGAAGAACTTTTTGATCAATCATAAAAACAACAGCAGCAGCACCAGCAATGCACATTTACCGTGAACCATTTTCCCATGAGCATCAAAACATCGACGTCACCAACAGCTCCATACAACGAACTATACAGTTTATTTGATAAACTTTCGGCATCAAAATTTCTGAGAATCTGCAAAAAAAAAATAAAGAAATTCAAAAACATTGGATTGTTACTGCAAATTGTACAGTTGTTATTATTTTATGTTACAGCAAAACGAACAGACTCAACATTACAGATTCTATTGTCGATATACATTTCATTGTTGTTGTTTGATGTTACTCACAGTTTAGTTGTTATACGACTATATTAAATTTATTCCATCTTTAGTAATGCTCTTATACAACGCTTTATTAGGATGTAAGAAAGAAGGAAAAAAAAGAACACAAAGAATAAACATTAAAACAGTGTAGTTTTTTTTTAATGTAATTTCTTCTAAAGTTTTATTTCTGTATTTGGGAAACAAAAAATAGACTAGTTTAATGGCTACCTGATTGACTTGATCAATAGCTGTAATTTTATGTTGTTGTTTTTGGTTACAGCTGTTTATGTATAACTCAAAAATACGTGTTGTCGGCACCGAACGACCTGGTACCGGAATTCCATCTGGATATGTTGCTGTAAAAAAAAAACACAACAATTTGGCCCGTCTTTTTTTTTT